CTTAAAAATCTGCCACTGATATCATATGTTAAAATAAAGCCTGGTTCCAGAGCTGTAGGCTAGGTTTTCAATATTTTTAAACTTTGACGCCAGAAACCAGAGTTAACCATTACCTAATGTCTTGCTTTGCTCAAAACAGGTATAATCACAATGACCCTTTGAGAGCTCGCTGACGTGTTATTTTTTAGGGGTGGAATTACTGCCTCACAGCAGGGTCATTGATAAATTCAAATGTGATGGTATTATGTAAAAAACATATATCATCATAAATGTAGCTGAAACAAGGTGGTTGTATTTTGCTACATACTAGCCATAGTCAAATAAGTTAATAGATCCTAAACTGTGGTCTACATTTGGTTACAGACGGATTCCTCTGCTGCCCCATCACTTGGCACACATTTCATGACATCGCTACATCTATCCGTTGTAATTGGAATGAAAAAACAATACATTTCACATTAAATATTTTCTTTTTAGAAGCTTTCAATTGACACAGCAAATATTAAACCAAAAATCCTTTCTCTGAATCGTCTATCTCCAGGATTTAGAAATTGAGCTATCAACAAAATCTATTAAAAATGAATGATTTAGTGATTTCCAATTCCATTTGAGACTTTTGAAAAGAAAAAGTCGAATGTGGTTATAATAAGTGAACACTGCAACATAGATGGTGTTTTTATTTGCTCCAAAAACAAAAACCATAACTTTTTTGGGGTATGTCAGTGGCTGCTGCAGAAGCCACATCGGTAGCTAAAGATGTGTGGGCAGTGAAGGGGGAAGGGCAGCTCACTGCATTTCAGTACATTTTAACAAGCAGTTATCGCAGGCTAAAAGGGTCTGTAATCAATGTAATTTCGAGGCAAGTACCCGCAAGAAGCCAAGCTACCAGAAAGCTGACACTCCTCTGTTGTCTTCTTTGCTTTGGTCCTCTCCTCCTCCTTAATCATCCAGTCCTCGCATCCCTTTCTGCCTCCTCTCTGCTCTTCGCTGATTTCATAATGTTCCCTTGTCTGCATTCAAATGCCTCACTTGCTTTCCACTCTTTGGTCTGTTTGTTCACTGTTGCTCTTCTTTGTCTTAATTCGTACTTTTTGTTCTTGGCCTTTCCTTCTATCTTTCTCCTCTATTTTCTGGCCTCTTGTACCATTTTATCTCCTCCTCTACTTTATCCCTCTCTAATTAGGACAGCGAAACAGTACCCATCTGGAGGACAACATATTATTTACAAAGTACATCAAAGGCCATCTTAGCATGCGCATTATCCACATATAACCTAAGAGCCGTGAAGTGCATTGGTGTACATGCTTTGTTATTCTTATGCACATTCAGGAAGTGATAGAAAATTACACCAAAAATTAAACTGAATCTTTTGTCAGTCTTTATTCAGACCCACTTTACTCAAAAACATTCTGCCTTGATTTTGCTCCGGTTACAATTTAGCCACATAATATCTCACAAGACTGTGGTTTCTTATTCATTTTTAAAGGGAATGCTTAGATAATTCACTTTTACTTAAAAGAGCCTATTTTGTTTTATCATTTAATTATGCTTCCTGTTGCCTTGCATGTTCTCAAGTATGTGGGCGGCATTTCCTTTTTATTCTCATATATTTTATAAACAAACCATACTTAGCATGAAAAGAACATCCCTCCCTTCTGCCATTAATCATGCTAATATTCCCCACCGGAGCAATTTTATATTGGGAAGGGACATTTCTCAGAAGCTCGATCAACTTCATCCCTTCTAGTCAAAAAAAAGAAAAGAAAAGAAAAAAATATGATTCTGTAAAATGACAGATATGGTCTGTGTCATTTGCGATGTGTACTACACTATTTCTAATCTCACATCATCTCAGTCAAAATAAACCCAGCCTCCCACCATCAGTCCACACCTGGGTGACGTAATACGTTTGAGTTGATGTGTGCTGTTTTTAAGGATCATTGTTAGGAAAGGTGAAATAGCGCCCCCTGTTGCTACAAATCGTTCAGTTTACAATATAGTGTGTTTTGTACACATTACAGTCATTGTATAGTCTAAACCGGTTGTTTGGAACCTTACATATGTTTAACAGATTTGAGTGAAGATTACATATGTACGGGCACTTATAATAAATATTTAATAATCTTGCAACTGGTGAAGTTCAAAATGCAAACTGGCAGGAGACATAAATAACTTTGGGCATCTATTTTCCTAACGGCTCCACTCCACAATCATTTCCTGTAATTACAGCCTAACGGTAAACACAGGACACTTACTGTGGCAACTGTAGACAAGCAATATAACTATTAACTATTAACGCAAATGTTATTTGTATGCTATAATGAATTGATCCCATTTAAGAAGAAAAAAAAAGTCCTCACCAAAAGACAGTGAATTAATAAATGCTATGTCTGCAAACTGTGTCAGAGCAGAGGGAGGCGTGTGAATTGGTCAAACAGCACGGCCCGAGTTAAAACAGTGTAGATGACTGATAGGAAGTGGTTCAAACCACTAAAGCAGTATATAGGCCTGCAAGCCACGGGCTTCAGGCAGCAAAACCCTGACAGTGACATTTAAGAAAGTCACCGCGGACACATGGTTAACACAGTGAAAGAGGTCTCACACTACATCATTTTAACACCCTGTCCCCGAGTATTGGTTTTACATTTTACCTCTGAGACCTTTCGATATCTAATACCCAAAGAAATAACCGATATTGTTATTATACTGAAACTGCACACTTGCTAACTTCAGTTACTGGTGAATTTAATTATGTGTCACACCCTGACGTGACAAAGACGATCTCCATGCAATTTATTGTGTAACTTTGAGAAAAAAAAATAGGTGTATCCACTATATGGTTATGAATTACAAGTGTGTCACAACAAAGCAATGAATTACTACGGTAATTATTGTGTTCTATGTATAAACTGTATGAATTGTATGAACAAGAAAGCAGAATTAAGTATAAAACAAAACAAACAAACAAAAACTGGCTTCTTTATTTGCTTTTTTTTTTTTTAATTCAGCCCAAAATGTGAGAGGAAGAGATACGACGACTATTTTGGGTTGGAGAACAGGAAATCAGAGGAAGCAATTTGGAGATGTTGTCTAGCAAGACGTAACTGCTATAACTTGCATAACCTTAACTGTTGATTAAAGAAAGCTAGCTGAAGCCTGTTTTGTGCTTATTAAGCACCTTTGTCTCAAACTTCCTTATTCTTTTTTCTTTTTCTTGGCCCACTCGTGAGAGGTCTCTCCTACCTGAGCGGGCTCCCCGGAGCTTGAACAAAACTCTAGCTCGAAATCCGGAGGTATCACTCTGAGAGCGGCACCTGTGGCGGGGCCACAGCTGTGGAAAAAGCTTCATCTCCCGGTAGGTATCCCCCTCCTCTTCGTCGGCCATTGTCGCCTCGTTTGTCAACCCGCCAGGCGAGGGGAGTAACAAGTTCACAGTGAAGAGAAAGCGAGAAACCTCACAGGAACCTGCTGAACATCAGCACACCGCCTGCTCCTCCTCTTCAAAGTTTTCTTAGCCCGCAGACAGTACGTGTTCCTGTGTTTGTTCACGCCCATCATCTGTCGCTGCAAACAGGTTGGCTTGCTGTTATGACTAAGAACAATTGTGAAAGGCAGTGGCAGCTGCCTACCCATTATCCCACTCACTGCTGAAGCTGTTTCCATTTTGCATGACTTAAAAGAAGAAGACGGAGTTTAAGCAATGCACATTATTGCATGCATTTGCGTCACACAGCTCTTAGCTGTAACTTAAGGCGGCATGCATGGAAAATAAATATCTTTAGTGCACAGAAACTCCATTACAATCATACATAAGACATTTACCGAAACTGCATCTGGATGCAGGACCTGCGAGTTGCATGCATTTTCTTCTGCATGAGTGAACCGTATGGACAGATAGCAGCAGACAGTTATATTTATTAAAAATAAACTAAAAACAGAAAATAGGAGGCGCTTTTGCATAAAAAAAGGTTTCTTTGTTACACATAGTATATATGCTTCCGCTACACATTTGTTACACATCTTACGCAATAAAAAATTTCTATTTATCACCACGGGATAATCGCAGGACTCGGTCGATGCAGGCTTTAAACGTAAGATGTCGCTAAATCACTACTCTGCTGATTTCCGTCCAGGTTTACACCCAGTGCTTCATTTTCACATTATTATGTAGAGATCTCTCACTCTGCACTCATTTTTCAAACACCAAATATTTTGATAATCTTTAAATATGACTGGTTTGACAGTGTTTGTCTGGCAGAAAGTGGTACACAATGCTAGCACAATGCTACAGTCAGATATGTTATATTTGAATCTAACTCTCCCAGCTCCTCCAACAATAATTGAAAAGAAAGATGTTTTTTTTTTATTGTGGTTACATGTGATAATCTTTTTATGTTCCCATTTACACTGTTATTTCAGCTGCTGTACTGCCAGCTTACAGTCTCTGGGTTTCAGTACTGCCTCTTCATATAATTTATCATATTTTTCATCATTTTTACTAAAATCTGTCAAACTTGACTTTTTTGGTACCTTGTCACTTTCCCTGTTGTGCATAGCATTAGACAGGCTGAGGCTGTAATAAAAAGCCTTCCCTGACTAGGGTAAGTGCCAACGCTAGCCCCGCAAAGCGGTCAAAATATGGGACATTGTGCCAAGATTTCTGACGAGTGGACAAGGCTTAAAAATACTGTCCAGTCCCACATAAAGAGGGACATCTGGTCACCCTGACATTTATACTGAGCAGATTGCAATTAAATCAAACCTATAAACATACACATATATTTACATGTTATTGAAAAAATACTTGCTCAAACGTCTGATGCAAACTAAGTATTTAGTGTTAGTTTTTATTTATTATTTAATCGAAATAATAATATATGACGAATTGTACTGTATTATACTCCTATTACACATGGATTCATATAAAAATTATATTTTAAAAAACACAAATACCAATCTAAACGACATAGCTCTATCGATGTTTTTGTTAAGCGTCAGAGTGATCATCTTCATAATAGACGATCTGCGGTCGTCGCTCAGCAGTAGCAGTGTTGGATCCCTGTCCTGAATCGGAGGAGATGGGCTGAGGTATAGAGCACAGACCCAACAGCAACCGAGATCCACGGCGGTTCAGCGCACCACTTACAGGAGGGACGACTTGGGTAAGCTGACATGGGTCGTTAAACTAAATGAATTAAGCTAATAACTTTGTTGTTTCATACACTTGAAGTTGTCCGTTTAATATTTAACGAAGCGGGCTAGCAGGAGCCGCCAGTGTTAGCTCGGGGTTAGGTTAACGTTTGTGACAAAACTTCTTTCTCCCAGCTAGTTATAAACGGTCGAGCAGTAAAGAAAAAGCAGTATTAGGGGAGATATATTGTAATTATCCGTGTCTTGCGAATCGTTTTACAAGTTTGCGGCACGCTAAGTACAAGCTAACATGAACCATATCGTTCTCAGTTAAGTTGAGGCCAGGGAGCCACAGCCACAGCTGCTGATGCTGCTAACACAGCCGTTTTCAGCGTGTTGTGGTAAGCTGGAATACCCAACGTTAGCTAACAGTTTGTGGTTGTGATGTTATATTTACGCTGGGATTATGGACTCTTGTTTCCTAAATCCTTTGGTTTAGACGCGCAGGACTCAGCTAGTAGACTAAACCCACTGAGCATCTTCGTTTTGCCTTACTTTGGAAATAGAAAAATCTAGACTAGGCATTGCTGTGGTGCGAGAAACCTGGGTGACCAAGTAACTGTTAAGGCTGAAACCGGGCTCTATTTAAAGGTTTCTGGTGAGAAATGATTTGTTTTATTTGAACTAGAATGGCCTGACCCACAAAGAGCAAGTGAAGTCCCCTGCCCCTTTAGTTAATTACCTTTAATCCCTTACCATTGTTTTCTCTCCCTTTTATTTATTTCATTTGTTGCGTTTTTTCAATCCACATCCTGACACAAGCAGCATAAACCTTTACTCTGCAGTTACTATTTCCAGTTGCTGTGGTACTTTAGATGTTACAGCAGCAGTTTAGGACCATGAAAACAAAATACTGACTGTCCAGTCCTAAATGTTGACTTATGACTTGGGTATCTTGTGACAGTGTTTGTGTTAGTGAGGCCTTCCAGCAAATGTAAAGAGTCAGTCTACCTGGGAAATGTTTGACCTAGAAAGAAGTGGGCTGTTATCACCATCTTATCTTAAGAGGTTGACCTTTAAACTTGTAAATCTTCACTGTAGTCTGGTTAGCACTTTCAACAATTTATTGTAATGTTTCCTTGCATCTTTCCTAAATTTAATTTACAGTGAAAACCGTGCTGTGTGATCCCATACAGAATTTTTGCGTTTCTAAGTATCCTGGTAGTGATCTGTTTTGAATCCTTACTAGAGAAACCCAGATATGCTACTCAAATAGAGGCTGGGTTACTGATCACTGCTTGCCATGTGTGGATTGCTTTCCTTGGCACAATTATGCGTGTCCTGTAAGGAAAATTTTCAAAGATTTACTTGCGAGGGAGCTGAATTATTGTAAGGATATTATGACCATTGACCCTGGACACAAAAATACCTACTGTGCAAAAACTGCACTCTGTCCATTCTGTATTTGCTCTTCCCTAAGCACAAGAGGTAGCTTGCACTGTAACATATAGTAGCTTACAGCCACCTCGGGTGAGTTAATATGAACTTATATTTGTTATTTTGACAGTTGAATTACTGATGTGTTGTTATGTTCTATATATGTCCTGTATAATCCCCAGCGGGGGATTATATATCCCCCCATATGCAGACATACTCACTGTGATGAGCCCCTTTGACAAGGGAGCAGCTGAAAGTAGAAAGGAGTGCAATATATTTGACCATATTAAATCCAGCTCTTCATCACAGATTCATCAAGATCTTTGTAACGGTCAGTCATCACTGCTTCTGGGGAATGCCTTCTTTGGGAAACACTTGGCTCGGGAGCTGCCACCAGTCCTCACCGAGGCCTTCCCCAAACCGCAGTCTCAGACCTAGATCTAGCTCTCTGCATTCTCCTTTAAGAAACATTGTCAATCAAATTCAAGATGTGATAACTATTAATGAAAAGAAGTCAAACACAAACTTTAAATGAAACTGAAGTAAAAAAAAAAAAATTGTCTACATTAACAAATTTCTTCTGGGGCCCACATAGTTCAGATTCAGTCCCATAAATGTGTTGGTGTAAATAATTTCATCTGTATTTAAGGAGAAGGCTCATTTTAATAAATAATCATGCACATTTTTCCTCTGCAGGAGATGTTAGGGATGTAGCTATCTTCAGTCCGAGCCCTGTCTGATAGTGCTACCTTTGCTACACCACCTCTATTACTTGTCTACAGACCTCATGAGAACTTGGGTTAACAGCATTGGAATTTAGTCTGTGTTGTCATTGTGTGTGCGTTTGTTTTTTTTGTTGTTTGTTTGTTTGTTTTGTTTTTAAATGTTGACCCACTAGATTGACAGGTGACCTGTGACATATACATGTTTTTAATCAGCCATTTTACAAAACAGTCTTTTTTGGGGGGGTCATGCTTACTGCTATGCACCAAAATACAGTTTTTATTTCATATACGATGTGATTAGTTGAACTGATAAAATGTCCACTGTTGCTTCAATGTTTGATGTTAAGAGTATGGAGGTGGGCATGTATGTTGACTTTAAAAACAGTGGTAGTGAAAAAAATTTTTTTTTATAAAAAAGAACTATAAACACTTAAACAGTTGACCTTGAGGCGCCTCTTCTCTGTCCTGAGCAAAGTTGTACAAATCTTTTTATCGATGGAAGTGCAATTTTGTAAACTACCATAAAGTTCAAAGTTGTTAATTGATCATGAGAACTGGATATTTGCTGTGTTTACTGAGGATATGATCTCATTGGTTTCAAGGTTGTCTCAGCTGATCCAACAAGAGATAAACCAATAGATAACAGGAAGAGTGGGTGCATTCAGGTCCCTCCTGCTTTCAGTGAGTAAGTTTTAATAGGCCATGGTATTACTCACCTTCTTGATGTGAACTCAAGTGACACCTAGATATATGCTTCCTCTACACTGTTTATTTAATCAACAATATTGCTGTTTATTTACACCTCTTAGTGAAATGCGAACTGTAAATGAAATGTAGATTTCTCAATACTGAGTGTAAGGCATGATTTAAACCAATATGAAATGTTTTTGCATTATATTTAAAGGCTTGACTACAAGCTCTGCAGTCTTGCTCAGGCCTTTTTTATGGGATGGCAATGGCTCAGGACATAGATCAGGTCACCTGCTAATTGGAAGATAGGTGGTTGGCCAACGTATCCTTGGGCAAGATATAAAACCCTAAGTTCCTCCTCATGTGTTCACCGGAGTGTAAATGTCAGAAAGCACTTGGACATGTGTGTCTGGAAAGTATTCTCTGCACTTCACTTGTTCCACATTTTGTCATATTGCAATGTTATTGCAAAATGGACTAAATTCATTTTTCACTTTAAAATTCTACACACATTACCTATAATTACTAAGTGAAAAGGGTTTGCTTGAGAGTCTTGCAGATGTATTAAAAAATTTAAAAAAAACTATGCTGTGAATACACGTGCAGTGTCGAAAAAAAGTACTGTTATAAATGTGTGTGAATGAGACATGTTGTATAAAGCACTTCGAGTGCTCAAGTAGAGTAAATGAGCACCATAGAAGAACCAGTCCATTTACCATTTACATCATCACACACAGATGGAACATCATTGATGCCCAAGCTGAATAACAGTGCCCTAATATTGATCCTTGCACGACCCCCGTGTTACAAGTTCTTATGTGTGTTGGAATTAAAATAATATTATCTGTGTCATAGATTTTATGTAGATCCAGAAGCAATCATCTCACTACCCCACCTTTTTCTAAATTTGCCCTAACAACTATGGTTGTTAGAATTCAAATAGGGTAGAGTAGGCTGTGCTTTTCAGGTGTTCTACCTGAAATTGTTTTCTTCCTGTCTGTCACCTGCCTTGTATAAAGGAGTTCCTACAGCAATTTTTAGAACGGAAGGAAATGCTGTATTTCACAGAGTTATTTATAATATAAAACATAAACAATTATTTATCTAGTCCCTTGTGAGTTTTTACATTTCATTAGGGGTTAAATAAATGTATTAACCTTGGACTCACCTGATTGATTGAAAGTTAATCCTGTGATGATATTTGAGAAAGCATAGCATGGAAATTAGATTCTCTCAAATATCTACCTGATTCTTCCAAAAACTAAACAAAACAATGCTGTGAGCTTAAGCTGCATACCCAGTCTGTATTTTCTTTGTATGTTTCATGTTCCCACATCTATACCAGCATCAGCCATACTGATGCAGATTCACTTCGGCTGTTTGGGTTCCCTAAGTAATTGTGAGGAAATGAAGTGCTAGCAAAGCTTTTGTTAGACGAGTCAAAATTGGTTTGCTTTTTGTTGGTCATAAGTGGCTGATAAATTATTTTGGACTTTACTGCACTTTTTGTTTTTATATCTATAATCTTTTGGCTGCTGATTACATGTTTTTAATGGTACTTGCCATGGGTTCATCAGTCAGTGTTTTCTTACATCTTTTTGCAGAGGATATCTATGTTCAAGTAGGAGCTAAAGGAAGATGCCAAAAATGGGTTTTAAAAAAAGTATTACTAGTAGGGCTGCACGATTAATTGTTAGAAAATCGCGATCTCGATTCATACTTATGTGCGATCTCATTTCCAAATGACAACGATTTAAAAAAAAAAAAAAGACGACGATTTTACCGCATTTTGGTCCGGGACGTAATCTGCATGAAAACAAGCGCTCACTCTTCCTGCTCAACAAATGACAAGGGCGGAGCCTTATACCACGTAATACGGAAGCTGTGCCGTGGGATGCTAAAATTAGCAGGAAAAAACAACGGAGAGCACGTCAGGGATGACGAGAAGTGACAGGAGAAAATCGGTCCCGGTCAACCACCCAAACATCAACAACGGGAACCTTATACAGCGCTTCCCCATACCCGTCGAACTCCCGCAGGCACAAAGAAATTACAGAGGCTATTACTTATCACCTGACCAAAGATATGGCTCCCATCAACACTGTGCAAAACGAGGGATTTAGGAAAATGATCAACACCCTAGACAAATGCTACACTGTGCTGTCCCGCAACTATTTTTTCTATTGTTGCACTACCTGCTCTATACACGCAGTGTCCAGCAACGGTGGAGACGGAATTTCAAGCAGTACAACATTTTGCAGCAACAACAAAACGTGAGACATTTGTTGTTTTTATGTTTATTTATTGTTTTTATGTTCAGTCTCAACTGTTACGAAGTTGATGTGCAGTTAATAAGTGCAATAAATATTTATACTGGAAAAGAAAATCGTGAGAGAATCGTGATCTCAATTCTAAGCCAAAAAATCGTGATTCTCATTTTATGCAAAATCGTGCAGCCCTAATTACTAGTGTAAAAAAAAAACAAAAAACAAAACAACCCTGTTCAGCAGAAGCTAGGAACTAAGAATAATGAAAAGCATTTTTCTACCTGATGCTGTGATGACAAAATAAATCCACATGATGTATTTAAATATGTTAAAACCCCCCATTGAAAGGCACTTTGGGTCAAACAAAGTCTAGGGGAGTGATCATTTTTTTAATGTTATATTGTTATAGTATGGAGGAAAAAAAAAACATACATTTTTAAAATTTTCCCTTATTCCCTACTTAGTACATATCTTGGCTAACAAAGCTGTTATCCATATTTAATTTTATTATTATTATTATTATTATTATTATTATTATTATTATTATTATTATATCTAGTTTGCATTAAGACTTTTGATATAATCCTCCTTTTCTCTTCCCTATCTTTAAGTGTATTTAATTTCATCTTTTGTCAAATTCTTCTCTGCATCACGAAAATGGATGAGCATGCTTTCAGCTGAACTTTTGCAAAGTACTTTATTTACAGTGTCGCCAGTCTCCACATAAACGTCTCTCACTTGACCTTCGGTGTGTACGTAGCGTTAAGATGGTCGTCTCTGACACTGCTGCTCCTTTCTGTAGCCTGTGTGTGAAATAGGATGACTCAGAAGCTGACTTTTATGGGTAGATGCATATTTTACGGGTAGATCCAGAAACTAACTGAGATGCTAACAGCCTAGACTCCCTGCACAACAAGCGGGCCTTTTGTCCCCTCCTTGCCCTCATCCACCCACACAGTGCTCATAATGTTCTGGAAAAAGAGCGCTTTATCTCGGCCTTCCACAGACTCATCTCACATATTGTAGGATTGGTTCAGAAAGACAGCAGCTTAAACAGGCTAATGTGACTATATCCCCACAGTAACACTGCACCCACCCACGCGAGTGCTGACATTGAGATGCGCACATTCAGACGTGTTGGTCTAAACATTTACTTTTCAGTTCATTAAAGGAGAGCAGCAGGGATTTGGCAGCACTCAGCAGGTTAAATATTGCACACTCTCTCCTGTGTGGGTCCTTTAGGTGTTTGGTTTTTTTTGTTTTTTTTCTCCCCTCTCGTCTCTCCTTTGTGTCGAACATGACTGAGCTCACTGGTATTTTTTGGCAATACTCAAGCGGTGCTTAGCTGCGGAGGCAGGGAGGCGGGTTGAAGGGAGGGGATAGAAGGGGTTGGCCAGAGGCTTGCCAAATCGGATGAGAGAGAATTTGGGAGGAGATGACTGAGAAAGTGAGAAAAGAGAGACACCAAGGGAAGAGGGATAAGGGGTGGGGGGCAAGCTAGGCTGGGTGGAAGAGAGAGTGACAGTGTCGAGTATGTTTTACAGGGGGAAAAAAGAGGAAGAGAGAGCGGGTGAGGCTGATATAAAAGGATAAAGGCGGGGTTGTGGTTTGTGTCACATGATCCCCTCACTGGTTGTAGCCTAGTGAGATCCAGGTGGCAGAGACACCATAGATGCAGTAGATGAAGACAGCAAAAGAAAGGGAGAGCAAGACTCTGCACAAAGAAAACTTAAAATTCCCCATTCACCACGCACCCTCTTCACTCATTTTTCTTTCCTCTCTTTTCAATGTGTCCTTAAGGAATTCCTCCGTCCCGCTTTTCCCTTCTCTTCTCCCGCTCCTCTCTCTCCCTTCCCGGCCTAAGCGGGCTAGGGAATGTCCCGGTGGCGCGATGCCTTACGTGGACCGACAGAACCGCATCTGTGGCTTTCTGGACATCGAAGAGAATGAGAACAGCGGCAAGTTCCTGCGCCGTTACTTCATACTGGACACACAACAGGGAAGCTTGGTGTGGTACATGGACAACCCACAGGTAAAGACACAGAGATGTGTTAGCTTAGCTCTTAGCTTTACTGGAGGGTGGCCTCAGGGCAACCGTACAGGCAAACTGGGAAACTACATGCTGCAAATTTTAGTTATCATATAGATGATTGGCTTTCATGCAGGTGTATCTTGACTGTGAGCCACTGATAGCAGAGCCTCCTCTATAAATTATGTTTTTTAAAAATTATATTCTAACATGCTTAGAAAGCACATTTTACAGACAAAGGAGGATCTCAGATCTAATGCGGTGTCTGTGTTGTAACTATTGGCAGACACTCCTGTAAATCATGTCAGAAAGGGCTGTCTGTGGACTGCAACACAGGGGAGTAACTTGTAGCTGGAGGTGTGTTTGGTGCTTTTCTTACCTGCAGCAGAAGCTGTGTGGCTCACACATGCCCAGCGTAAGCCTAACTGATGTTAACCAGCACGCATGTGCAGCATCAGTATCAGCATGTTTTGAGGTTGGTGTGTTTTGCAGCAGTCGTGCAGGCTGCAGGTATTCATCCATTTAAATAGGGAATAGAATGTACTCATGTTGTTGAGAGGGGCCCAAAGAGACTACAGTAATATTTGCACTGACCGTAGTGGTTGGCCATCAGTGTCTACTCTGTGCCCCATAGTGTCACTTTTTATATAGTGTAATATGTCCTCTGTTGGCACATAATCTGATTTAGATTTGCTGTATTTGTTAAGTGCCCTGTTACATCAAGTATTCATAAATGATGTAGAGCAGGAAAAAAATTGTAAATAATTGAATAAGTCTCTTTCTTTTTATAGATTGAAAAAAGTTAAATTTTAATGACGTTAAATCTGGATCTCCCAGTTTCAGAAACACAGGAAGGCACTGACATTAACTGGATGGAGTGCAGCCAACACATGCTGTACTTACTCTATAATATCGACTGGCTTTGCAGAACCTCACCCCCAGACCAGATCACATTTGATCTTCTACGGCTAAAGGCCTGCCTTACTGGCACTTGTATTGTGTATTGTGTATTGTATTGCGTAATTGCATCATTAGCTTGAGCTTCCTTTTTATTGCAAGTATTTTTCTTTTCCACCTTTTCCCACAGAACTTGCCTGTTGGTACGGTCTGTGTTGGTTCCCTCAAGCTCACATACATCTCTAAGGTAAGCTAGATCATCAAAGGAGCTACAAGGTTATATACAACTGGAAGACTTCACATTTTTTTAGTTGAGCTTGAACACTAAAGTCTGTGGGATTTGTTCTTATTTAGGTCAGCGATGCCACCAAGCTGAGGCCTAAAGCAGAATTCTGCTTCGGTAAGAAAATGCACGTCATCAAATCTGTTCTTCCAGTCAGGATATTAGCATAATAAAAGCACAGAAGACTTCACTCTTGTTTTTAACATCTTGCATTTCAAATATTATTTTGAACACATTTTCCAATGATGTCACTAATGAGCCTTGGATAATATGATTCATAGTGTTATTCATACTAAACAGGAAAACATCTTGCTTCTTTATAAAAATACAACTTGACAAATGTCTGAACTGCTTTGAAAACATGAGCAATGATGGTGAATTTAACCACATGTTGACTAAGCTGGATACCCTTAATATAACCTAAGGGAGGACTATTTTTTTGTCCTTGTCTGCTCTCTCAACATGGTCAAGCACAGCTTTTCTCAGGTTTTTTCCACCACTGATCAAGCAGCATTGTTCAGCGTTGCGTGGTTTGTTAATGTAGAAAAATGCACGATGCTCCAGCAGTTAATGGCCTGGGGTTTTTTTTGACCACGTTGAACTATTCTATAAGTAGAATTTATCATCTGTCCTATTTTAAAACAGTCTTTCGTGTATTGCTAAGGTTTTGTCTCATTCTTCTCACCTACTAGTTAATAAGGATATCCTGGGGCATTACCTATTGCTGACTACAATAAGTAAAACATTTTATAAAGGCATAAGTTGCTGGTGTCTTCTTCTGGTGCGTTGTTAGCTAATCTTGATGCACATTGATTCTGCAGTCTTTAGAAATGAGTCGCATTACTCTGTGCTTGTGGGTCCCTGTGATTAGAAAACTGACTCTTATGCAAGAACTTTCTTACTTACTATCTTTAAAATGGACCTACTGTGCTCTTTTCCAACTCCATAGTTTTATTTTTTGACTTGACAAGAGTAGCTTTAGCAGCTAGTGTAGTGGGTAACACGTTTGTCTAGAAATCCCTGGGAGGGTTGTGTTAGGAAGGGCATCCAGCGTAAACATCTGTGCCAAATCAAAAATGTGGATCCATCCGCTGTGGCGACCCCTTGTGAATATGCAGCAGCGGAAAGAAGAAGACTAGAGTTGTTTTGCATGATTTATAGTACAAAATATTCTTTATTTGTCTAATTCTGGGCCTCCGTACAACTCCAGAGTTATTCCATTTCTATCCTTTTGCTTTAAAGCCATCCTTCCTTTAAGCAAGCTGATTGGCTGCCTCTTGCAGGCAGAAGGTTTTAACAGTGAATGTGTGGGGCTTCAGTGCTCAGTTTAGTGACTGAGATGACCCTGTTTGGAATAACTTCACAAAAGAAACTGAAAATGAGCACATAGTGCAGTCTGTAGCCTGAGCTTTTACTTCTCCATACGTTGATCTTATTAATTGAAACTTTGTGTAATATGAACACTTCTGGTAATGGTATACGGTAATTAATTTTATATGTTAAAATAAAAGGGTAATAAAGACACTCATTTTGTATGAGTGAATTATATAATCTTTGTATTTTACCTGGACTGGGTATAATTTATGGGGTGTTGATAGCTTTTTAATATTGTTTGATGTCCTCTTTGCAATGTCCTTCAACAAAGAAATACATAGAGCCCTATTTGTACTTGTCTTCTTACCTCATGTGGCCAAGATGGGAAAAAGTATTTAATAAAAACTATTAACTACTGTCAGATGTATTTATTTTTTAAGAGTAAACCTTCATCGCAGTGTTTGTTTACTAGCCTAAGTCTTCATCTGTCCAGTTCAATAGCAGGAAATACTAGTGTGTGACAATATGTTCACACTGCATGTGTATATCTGGCTGTGTACACAGCAGTTGCCTTGTTGAAGTTATGACAGGATGCCGACATCCTAATCAGAACCTGATTCGCAGACGTGAGAAGCTATTTTTAAATTTTGTCTGATATCCATGAATCGTGCTCCTCCCCTTTTCCTGTGTCCAGCAAGCCAAGGCATGATATAGGGTGAAGCAATGTTGACATTTAATTTATAGTTTAAAAAAACTCAAACAGACTTTTGTTTGCAGCTCATATGCGATGGAGAAAGATTAAGAGCAACTGTGTGAACTTTGGCTTTTGTCTGCATTTCCCAGCAGCATGCATTGTTTTGTTATGTGTAACTATGAGTCAGATCTGATACCCCTTCTCCCAGATTTCATTCCAGCGCCAAAGATACCACTGCAATTCCACTACTGCCGAATAGTTTATCACTCCCACAAACAGTGGACAGATTTTAGCTCAAGACTGTTGGACAATTTCCTCCTGGTCATCGGCTTGAGGCCAGATAGACAGAATTATTTTGCAGGAAAGTAGTGGAATAGTGTATTGAGGTGTCCAAGATCTGGAATAAATACACAGAACGGGGAAGAATGATCTTCATTGTGACACAGTTTGCCTTTTGCCTTTTCACAGCTCTCCCCCGCCTGATTTACCAGGCCAGCTTTAATGTAATTTATTGCTATGGTGTCAGAAGGAAATAGAGGAGACACAGGGACGGTTTGAGCTGCAGAACTGAAGGATTTATGGCAAAGCCAGAGAGAAAAGAGACTTTATTTCTTTCAGCATCTAAATCCTGATCCATAGCTAATCAGCATTTGACCCAAAAATTTCTTCATGATTGAAATGCAGTTTTCTCATGTTCATGGCTGTAAAAC